GGGTGACAGTGACAGGGGTGACAGTGACACTGAGAGGTGACAATGCCCCCCCTGTGTCCCCCTGGAGCGGGACAAGGTGATGCTCCTGATCATCCAGGGGGGTGACAGTGACACAGGGTGGGCGACAGTGACACTGAGAGGTGACAGTGACACAGGCAAGGTGACAGTGACACTGAGAGGTGACAATGCCCCCCCTGTGCCCCCCAGGAGCGGGACAAGGTGATGCCCCTGATCATCCAGGGGTTCCGGGACGCGGCCGAGGACGGGGGGACGTCGGTGACGGGGGGACAGACGGTGCTCAACCCCTGGGTCATCGTGGGGGGCGTGGCCACGGCCGTCTGCCAATCCAGCGAGTTCATCATGTGAGTGACAGCCAAGGGGCGGGGCTTGGGGGGGCGTGGCCACAGCTACTTGTCAATCAAGTGACTTTATCATGTGAGTGACAGCTAAGGGGTGGGGTTTAGGAGGGGGTGTGGCCACGACCGTCTGCCAATCAAGTTCATCATGTGAGTGACAGACAAGGGGTGGGGCTTGGGGAGGGGGCGGGGCCATATGTCAATCAAGTGAGTTCATAATGGGAGTGATAGCTAAGGGGTGGGGCTTGAGGGGGGCGTGGCCACAACTATCTATCAATCAAGTGAATTCACGTGAGTGACAGTTAATGGGTGGGGCTTGGGAGGGGGCGTGGCCATGACTGTCAATCAAGTGAGTTTATGTTGTTGATGAGTGGGGCGGGGCTTGGGGAGGGGGAGTGGCCATGGCCATGTGTCAATCAAGTGAGTACATCATGTGAGTGACAACTAAGGGGTGGGGCTGGGGAGGGGGCGTGGCCACACCTCTCAATTAAGTTCATCATGTGAGTGATGGGTGGGGCTTGGGGAGGGGGCGTGGCCACAGCCACCTGTCAATCAAGTGAGTTCATCATGTCAGTGGTGGGTGGGGCTTGTGGAAGGGCGTAGCCTTCTGTCAATCAAGTGAATTCATAATGAATGATGGGCAGGGGCGGAGCTTAGGGAGGGGGCGTGGCCACAACCACCTGTGAATCAAGAAAGTTCATCATGTCAGTGATGGGCAGGGGCGGGGCTTGGGGAGGGGGCGTGGCCACATCTGTCAATCAAGTGAATTTATGTGGGTGGGGCTTGGTGAGGGGGTGTGGCCACATCTGTCAATCAAGTTCATAGTGTGTGAGAACTAAAGGGTGGGGCTTGTGGAGGGGGCGTGGCCACATCCACCTGTCAAATCAAGTGAACTTATATGAGTGACAGTGGTGGGTGGGATTTGAGGAGGGGGCGTGGCCATAGCCTGTCAATCAAATGAGTCCATGGGAGTGACAAGAAGGGGGCGGGGCTTGGGGACAGGCAGTGGGGCTTGTGGGTGTTGACAAGGGGCGGGGTTAGGGGCAAGGGGGGCGTGTCCCTTGCTGACCCCGCCCCTGTCAGGCCGGACAGCGCCGTGCCCGGGGATGTGCTGGTGCTGACGAAGCCCCTGGGGACACACATGGCTGTCACTGCTCACCAGTGGCTGGACATGGTGAGTGCCACTGGGGACACGGGGGGGACATTGGGGGGGACGGTGACACCACGGGGGGCACACCCAGAGCCAGCCCTGGGTCACCAGGGGCACCTGAAGTGGGGCTGAGGGACCTCCAGGTGTCCCCAAAGGGACCTGAAATGGGACCCTGAGCCACCCCTGGTGTCCCCAAAGGGACCTGAAATGGGACCCTGAGCCACCCCTGATGCCCCAAGGGGACCTGAAATGGGACCCTGAGCCACCCCTGGTGTCCCCAAAGGGACCTGAAATGGGACCCTGAGCCACCCCTGATGCCCCAAGGGGACCAAGAGCCACACTGGTGCCACCAAGGGCACCTGAGATGGGGCGAGGGGACCCCCAGGTGTCCCCAGAGGGATCCAAAATGGCACCAAAGCCACCCCTGGTGTCCCCAAGAGGACCCTGAGCCACTCCTGGTGTCCCCAAGGAGACCCTGAGCCACCCCTGGTGTCCCCAAGAAGACCAAGAGCCACGCTTGTGCCACCAAGGGCACCTGAGATGGGGCGAGGGGACCTCCAGGTGTCCCCAGAGGGATCCAAAATGGCACCAAAGCCACCCCTGGTGTCCCCAAGAAGACCAAGAGCCACCCTTTGTATCTCCCAGGGGACCTGAAATGGGACTAAGAGCCACCTTGGTGTCCCCAAGGGGACCCTGAACCACTCCTGGTGTCCCCAAGGGGACCCTGAGCCACCCTGGTGTCCCCAAAGGGACCTGAAATGGGACCTTGAGCCACCCCTGGTGTCCTCAAGGGGACCCTGAGCCACCCTGGTGTCCCCAAGGGGACCCAAAATGGGACCTTGAGCCACCCCTGGTGTCCCCAAGGGGACCCTGAGCCACCCTGATGTCCCCAAGGGGACCCTGAGCCACCCCAGTAGCTCCTGATGTCCCCAAGGAGACCCCAGGGCCCCCCTGAGTGTGTCCCCAAGGCCACCCCGGGGGTCCCTGACACGTGTCCCCTCCGTGTCCCCTCAGCCCGAGCGCTGGAACAAGATCAAGCTGGTGGTGACGCGGGAGGAGGTGGAGCTGGCCTACCAGGAGGCCGTGGCCAGCATGGCCACGCTCAACCGCACCGGTGGGTGACACCCGGGGGACGTGGGGACACCTGGGGACACGAGGGGACCCAGGGGAGGTGACACAGTTGGTGTGTCAGGAGGCCATGTCCAGCAGGGCCACGCTCAACTGCACTGGGGGGGACACTGAGGGGACATGGGGACACCCTGAGGACACTCTGGGGACACTGAGGGGGCACAGGGACACCCAGGGGACACTGAGGGGACACAGGGACACCCTGGGGGCACCTGGGGACACGAGGGGAGGTGACACAGTTGGTGTGTCAGGAGGCCATGTCTGGCAGGGCCACCATGAACTGCACTGGGGGGTGACACTGAGGGGACATGGGGACACTCTGGGGACACTGAGGGGACATGGGGACACCCTGGGGACACTGAGGGGGCACAGGGACACCCAGGGGACAGCTGGGGACACGAGGGGACCCGGGGGAGGTGACACAGTTGGGGTGTCAGGAGGCCACGTCCAGCAGGGCCACCATGAACTGCACTGGGGGGTGACACAGAAGGACATGGGGACACTGAGGGGGCATTGAGGGGACACTGAGGGGACATGGGGACACCCTGGGGACGCGAGGGGACCCAGGGGAGGTGACACAGGGGGTGGGGTTTGTTGTATCAGGAGGCCCCACCCAGCATGGCCACCATGGGGGTGACACTGGGGACACCCGGAATGGGACCAAAAGCCACCCAGGTGTCCCCAAATCCGCTGCAGGTGTCCCTGAAGCCACCCAGGTGTCCCCAAAGCCACCTCAGATGTCCCCAAAGCCTCCTCAGATGTCCTGAAAACCACTTGAGATGTTGCCAAAGCCACCCCAGGTGTCCCCAAAACCACCATGGGTGTCCCTAAAGCCACCCCAGATATCCCCAAAGCTACTTGAGATGTCCCCAAAGCCACTCAGGTGTCCCCAAAGCCACCATGGGTGTCCCTGAAGCCACACCAGATGTGCCCAAAGCCATTTGAGATGTTGCCTAAGTCACCCCAGATGTCACCAAAGCCACACCAAATGTGCCCAAAGCCACCTCAGATGTCCTCAAAGCCACTTGAGATGTTGCCAAAGCCACCCCAGATGTCCCCAAAGCCACCCAGCTGTCCCCAAGAGCCACCCAAAGCCATCCTAAGGGGTCCCCAGGCCATCCCCGGTGTCCCCAAAGCCACCTCAGTGTCCCCCAGACCACTCCAGTTGTCTCCCAAGCCACCATGGGGTGTCCCTTGGCCACGTTCAATGTCCCCAAAGCCGCCCCAGGTGTCCCCAAAGCCACTAAAGATGTCTCCAAGACATCTCAGAGGTGCCAAAGCCACCGTGGGGGTCTCAAAGCCACCCCACGTGTCTCCAAGGATGAGGGGACACTTCGAAGACCCTCCTGGTGACACTGGTGTCCCCTGGCAGCTGCAGGTCTGATGAGGTCGTTCGGTGCCCACGCGGCCACGGACGTGACGGGGTTCGGGCTCCTGGG